AGCAAGCTGTAATTCTTATATTAGACCAAAAAATATTATGTAGATACCTATCTAATGCATGCCAACAGACCGCTCCTTCGAATTTTAATCATTTTGATAGGTAGGCGCTACGACTTGCTTGACTTACTAAGATACCTACCTAGGTACTTAAGTAGGTACCTAAGGCTACATATATTCTGTAGGTACCTACTGCACAGGTGAGTACGTGCATGGCTCCGGAGCAGGGATATGGGCTACCCCTGTCTTCAATACCCACACATATCACTCGGCTCTAGCCAATCATAGTCAAGGGAATAATAATCCTGTCGCAATAAGTCGTGAGACCAACACAACCGATTCCGGGCTTATGCTACCCATTATCGTCCATCTACATCTGCCAAGCCATGCTCATTTGCCAACTCGGGACAGAGCGACGCAGCCTTAACCCCAACTAATCGCAATCCCCAATTGATCCGTTGACGGGCTGGGCAGGCATACACGAGCCAGCAGCACAGCGAGCGGTGAAACGTTCCCGCCAGCACCAGCACAAGCACCAGCACCGTCAAGCCAACCTATCCAGGCACCGTCAAGCCACACACAACCCACCCTCATTCGAACTTACCTTGGTTGTAGTCGGTAGCTAGTCGGTTTATCTACTTGCTACTTACTGTGTCTTCGTGATCCATTATCAAGAGGTATTCATCACGCACCAGACAGACTACAACCACTCACCCCCCCGGCCGGCACCCCACGCGTCCACATTATAGTCTCCCCTACGGTCTACCCGCCTTGGCTCTCTGCTTGGCCACTATCAGCAGTCTCTGATCCAGCCGTAGTGATCGTGATCGTGATCTGATCTGATCGTGACCCATACCCTAGCAAAGGTAAACCTTCTCCGCCTCCGGGCATTATCATCATCATTATCATCATCATCATCCTCAGGCTCTCTTTCGCTGTCACCTCGACGTTACCGGTGATACTGCCAGTATTCCTGCTGGCAGTAGGACCAGTAGTCCTCTACTAACCCAACCATTTCCTCTCCCTCTGCTTGCCACTTGTCACTTTCTCTCCACGAGCAGAGTCCAACTGAATATACGTAAGTCTTTCAAGACCAGTTGAACACAAAGATCCTCTTTGAGATGGAACAAGCAATTAAAGTAGTAACATGCTACTTCAAATTCTCCATATATTCGCCTCCCCATTTTCTCTGTAAAAGCCACCTTCAGGTTGTTACACCTAGCCTAGAGCCACTTCACCAAAACATTCCCTCCCTCTCCAGCCTCCAGCTTGTCTTTTGCTTCCGTTGTACATTGTTGCTTATCATTGTCCCGTGCCTCGCGAGCCTTTGCGGTGACTATATCCATCCATCTCCGCATATCATTATTCCCCAATTGGCAAGAGAATCAATGTATTGGTACCGTCATTCTCTGGATGTCTATCCGGAAGATATATTTCACTCCCTTCTAATACTGGCTCCGGGGTCCTCCACGTCTAGGTGCCATTCTTTCCAAATGCATATCGCTTCTTTTACGCCCGTTCTCGATTCCTTTTTGACAATTTCTGAAGCTCACACCAAAACATAGGTTTCCAGCCGTTGGGATTTCGTCCGGCTGTGCCGCTGTGCTCGAGGACGTGTGGATCCCAACGATAGTGGCAATGATGGACATCGCACCACATTCCCAGCATAGACTTACCAGAAACGAGCCCTCGTCGACGACGAGAACGGCTCTTCCCTCACGTCCTACCATAACAAGAGACCATAGTGGTCGTTCCCCTGGGCGTAACGTCCTCAATAATATTTCTCCTATAGGATCGACAAGTCCCGCAGCCCAGAGCATAGGCGTAGCTTCAGAAGACCGAAGCCCATCCCTGAACGCATCCGATAGGGTCTATTCTAAGAGCCCTTCTCCATTTGACGTAGGCCTGCAAGATAGTCCCACTGGCACGAGCCCATCTCCAGCCACAACTAGTCAAGGCGGTCAGGTGTGCAGGTATGTACAGCGAAGATTACAGTACAAGCGGTAATTAACAAGAAATAGCAATTGCGGGACCACGAGAACACCACTCTGGAGACGCTCGCCCCAAGGAGCTACAATATGCAACGCCTGTGGATTATATTTAAAAGCGCGAAATTCTGCTCGCCCGACAAACCTAAAGCGGCCACCATCCATAGTTACAACAACGCAGACGACTACTGGAGATAAAACTACTCTTGCATCATGCTCGCAGGGGAACATGACAAGTATGCCTGGTGCTACTTATGTTGCAGCAGATCAGACTCCCTCGGGATCATGTCCAGGGGGTGGGCGATGCAATGGCACTGGTGGTGCTGAAGGTTGCAGTGGCTGTCCTGCCTACAACAACAGAATTGCGAAGAGCGCCCAACTCCAAAATCAGCATCCCAGCCCAGGGCGAGATAATATGACGGGAGATGGCCCAACTCCCATTGATATCAACGCGCAGGAAAATAAAGGGCAAGCTCAGAATACCACGGTAGTAATAGCTTGCCAAAATTGCGGAACAACCATAACACCTTTATGGCGCCGTGACGAAGCTGGGCATACAATATGTAACGCTTGTGGTAAGCTGAAGGTTGTAAATTAATTACGTTCAATGCTAAACTTTAATAGGGCTGTACTATAAGCTTCACGGCGTCCACCGACCCGTGACGATGAAAAAATCTGTAATAAAACGAAGGAAACGAGTTATACCAGCAAACCAAGAGGAGGTATCGGCAGATGCAGAAGATGCGATGGTTATAGACTCGGTAGAGCAACAAAGTCAGTATGCGGAATCCGAAATGGAGCGAGGCAGTATAAACGAAGACGGATCTATAAATCTTGGGCTACGACGCAAAACCGATCATAATCTAACGCTCCTTCCTGAACCCATCCACTCCACTCAAGGATCCACGCCCATACCGTCAACTGATACCATAGTATATCACACATCTCAGACGCTACAGCCCTTCAGCGGCCGCGACTCGATGAGCGACGACAACCGGTTGCCGCCGTTAGCATCCATCATGAGCGATCGACAGTCATCCATCTCGCCTGCCTCCTTTCTCGATCCATTGAGCCGAAAACGATCATTCTCAGCAACAGATTCCGATGCCCCAAGCAGCGAGTTCAATCCCGAAAATACCAAAAGACTTTCTTCTATTAAATCAATATTGAATCCAACAAGTGTATCAAGTCTGAGCTTCGGCTCGGTAACGGACGATGGGTCAGAAGTTTTGAGACTACGTTCGCCGGCAAGCACATTGATGTCAGCCCCCAGCCCTGGCGGGTTTTCCATTACATCAAGCATGATACCAAGTATGCGTTCGCGGGAAACGACGGTTGAAAGCGAAAGGTCCAAGGCAGATAGACGGGCAGCCCTGCAACAAGAGGCTGATCGTATGCGGAAGTTGCTTGCGGCCAACGAAAGGGAGTTGGCAGCACTTGGAGATTGATATTTAATCATGCTTTTCATTGCAGTTTAGGCACTAATTCCCGCCCATATTCATGAACGTGGGCCCCATGAATGATGAACGCGGACTAAAATTTTATACGATAACGACTGTTCTTCTGGGCATAATAACGTCACAGGTAACGGAATCCTGGGCGCGGACGAACTATACATCGGTGTATTATGGGCTTTGTTTCCTTCGAGGCTATGGAAGGTCTCGAGGAGTTTGGACGGCTATCGGAATTCTTTGGTATGTGCATTGGGGAATTCTGGAGACGAGAACGGGAACGGTATTATGACTTCTCGTACACTACTAGATACAGGCGGGTCCACCGCCTTACCCTGACCAAAGCTACAATACGTTAAACTCTCGAGGCACCAGACAATCCAGTTTGGCCTGTGTAATGTCTGTATACGGGAAATTTTTGTCAAGTGCAATTCTCTATAATTAAACACTCGTGTTTATACGTGTATATGTTTAAATACCCAAACTATTTGCGGTCTACGTAGGTGGCAGCTATATTATACGATATATGGTACAAATTGACAACGTGAGTACCCATCGTACTTAAGAAAGGACTAGATAACCCTACCTAGCTAGAGATGAGAGGATCGTCTGCTAAAAGGGAAGGGGGGGTGGTGATCCCAAACAGTTCGCGAGCTGGGTGTCTGGTGTTTGCTTATCTCCTTCAAATTACGATCTTAATTGTTATAGGAACTCAATAGCACGATCAGCAAAATACCAAGTAATACTGAGCCATTTTTTGTGAAAACCATTCGTAGAGGCGCAAGTAGCAGTGTTAGGTAATAGGGGTAGAAAGAGGAGATGATGCTATACCAAACGTAGCTCAGCCAAAAGCGCCCCAATCCACGAGTTGCCTACCAAGCACCATTCACTAAATTAATTTCTAGTAGGCCGCAGTGAGGAGATATTTAGTTAGGATAAGGTAGGTATTATTTGGGTAGTAGAAGCTTTTTCTTCTTTTTGGGTTGAAATATGTGGATCATGTCTATCTATTAGGCCTCAGGCACCATTCCTTTCACAACTGTAAAGGGAAAATTGACGCCGTTCATACTAGGTATTACAGAATCCACGGTGTATATATGCGACAACTACCAACTCGTTTACGTACCTATTTCCACCCATAATATCGCGGTGGGAGTTACTCTCGTGTTGTTTTTTACAGAAGAAAACTTGTTCATCTGTTTCGGGGTTGGGGAAGCTTACATAAAAGATAAAAGTCGGATGTCTACATAGGTGGCTGGTGTCCACTGCTTGCCGAGTTCAAGCCACAATGGCCCGGACCCGAACACAAAGGAAGACCCACCACACCGCTCCGGTATCTACTCCAACAAGTAGTCGAGGTCGAACTTATGTAGTACCCAGGTAAAACGTGCCTCGTAGTATTAAGTGGCACAGCCCAGATACATCAGATTAGAACCAGTCTATAGTAGCGTTTACCAGTTCAACAATGAATTTCACTAGTCTAGTAGGAGAGCCGACGCTAGCAGCTCGATATCCGTAGCCCGGTATTATGTAAGAGCTTTGGCGGCCAACCCACACATCATCGGGTGCCATCGTATAGTGGTTAGTACAGCGTGTTGTGGCCGCGCAAACAAGGGTTCGATTCCCTTTGGCGCCAAAGAAACCGGCGTTCTTCTATCTTGATTCTGAGAAACCAGACTAGGGAACTATCTATTTTGTTCGATAATCCCGTTGGTCTTGTGGTATATAAGATACCAGTTTTTTTTAGAAGTAGAGGTGCACATATTCTGCAACGCGGGGCTCTTGGGGATGGATCTTGGATAGCTATCTACTAAATATCCGGAAACAGCTTATATGTGGGACGCATATAGCACCCACATGTCCCGAAATGAGCCCTGTTGTCTCCCTGCTACCATGAGAATAGCCCGGAAGGGCCGTCCCTGAATACAACGACGTCACGCTGCCAAATTTTGAATTACAGTAACCATGTAGATTTACAGTTAAAGTCGATAAACAACTTTATCGACGACTCGCAGAGCCTAGCTCAGTAAAGGGGATTGTTCCACTAAACTAACCCTCGCTTCTGAATTGCACTCCCTTTCCCCGTTTCGTTCGAAAAAATCTCTAGTCCCATTCCCCCTTACTTATTAGCCTCCCGGTCCCTGAAACAAACTCTTTCGCCTCGTGAGTTAGATTGCAACTCGTAGATTACAGGTGCGCCTCTGATGCTCGTATCATTACGAAATACAGACAGAAATCGCAGGTGGGAGAGGCTAGTCCCCTTTCGTGTCTTAGGGATTAAACCTGCTCGGCGCCCCAGCCCTGGTCGGCTTCGCGCATGTTGGCAGGTGGCTCGATTGAAGGCACGAACTCCAGCGCAGCGTATACGACCCCTACTGCCCCAATTATGGAGCCTGCTACGTAGCGTATCGGGTGTCCTGAGAGCAGGATAGAGCCGGTGAAGATGTAGACTATGACTTGTTAGTACGGCTGAATCGCGTGTGGTGGAAATCGGTACGAGAGTGTCGCAAGAGAAAGCGCTTTAGGTTGGAGGGGAATAGACGTAGGGCGACACGTACAGATTCCACGGCCGAGGAAGGAGAACATAAAAGACGCGTAGCGCGATACTTGGGGCGGTGGAATTCGAGGAGCCCGACGATGGCGCCGAATATTACAACGTAAACGCCGAGGATGATCGATTCACTGATGCCGCTATTGTAAGTTATACGTGTTCTCAGTCTGTGTAAGTAGCTGCATTTTCCAGCCATGGCGACGAAGGCCAACAGAGTTGAGAGGTGTTGGGAAATAGGAGTGCGCGGACGTACAAGGTGGGATGGATGAATTGCGTTATGCCACCGAAAAGCATAACCGCACCTACAACGAGGTTGACGATTCGACTGCGGCGTGAGTGGTTAGCGCAAATGGGTTCTAGAGTTCACCATGCGTTATCCGTCGACCACACGGCCACCATGATGCCGTCGCATCTACGGAGCAGCGCGATGTAGCCGTTCGTTCGTCGTCACAGGGTGGGAGACGATTGGAAGACGTACAAGGAGTCGGAAAAGTCCATTTTTTCGTATAGACTTTGTCTATTCTTTCAGGGTTGGTGTGGTGTGTGGTATTTGTCCTGGTTTTGTCGAGCGTGTTCTGTACAAGTATGCACTATATATATGTATGATAGAGTAAACCGGCACCCTAGATCTAAATCGCACAGATTATAGCCCCGAGGACTTAGGGTTAAGCTTATGTTACGCGTAGTAGATGATGACGATGAGGATTTGTGGTCAACCAGGCAGATGTTTTTTAGAGCTTCTTGTTGGTTCAGAGTGTAAAGGAGGCTACCTACGTATCTCTCCGGCGAGCCATAGCCAAGTAACTAAGCTCCAGTAAAGCTACTGCGCTAGCGTCACAATCTGTGACAGGGGCTAGACCTTAGCAGCTTTAGGTAGCATGGGGCCTTGTCGTCAGCAATGAGATATCAGCTGTCGGCCGTCCAGCCATGTGGGGCGTCAGATGGCTCGGCTATTAACGCCGAAGTCTACTACCTACGTACACGTACAGTAGTAAGATACTATAAATACTTCATAGATAGGTATGTATGATCAGTTTTCTTTGTTGCTGCTGCATAACTAGATTCTCATATTTCTAGCGATGCTAGATATTTCCTAGAATTTGATGACAAATATGTACATGAGTAAATTAAGTTCGTGGTTGCCTAAAGAAAAGATCCTATGTAAATGATCAAGCCACATGTGTATAGTACAAGCCACAAAATAATGTGGCGCAACAAAATACTTATCAGTAGGTAGATTATTAGAGCTACCTAGGAAGGTACCCTAGAAAATCGCGACCTCAGATTGATCTTCACGTTTCCCCCTTAACTTGTATGAAGTTTACATACATCATAGCTTCTCCGACTTCAACGCGACGCACGAAGAACCACCACCTACTTCAATTCATTGTCTGATCCATTGACTGTGCTAGCACCTATCGCACAGTCACGCCATTATTACCCCTAGTTTCTTCCACATTACTTTATGCAACTCGAGCTTCCTGAGACTCCCAAACAGACCCAACAACGAACCATATCCCAATCTCCTCATCACTCCGATCAATATGGCCCCCAGCGCTATGATGCGAGTAGCCCACTCCGCAGCCTTCAGCAGCAGCGAGATGGTAGTATGTCGCCGCACTCTGCTAGCGAGGCCGACTCGCTCAGCCCACTGTCTCAAGGCGTCCATCCGGATTTCCTTGAAGACCGACTACGCCGACTGAGTATCTGCGACCAGTCGTCTACTGGGCGGCTTCCTCTCGCCGGCCGACGAATTACCGAGTATGAGAATGCATTGACGCCTTCTATTCCAAGACAAGCGCTAGGCTTTAAAGTTATTAAGCGCACCAGCAGCGAGACGGCTGGTGTCAACCTCGATGACTTCCCAAATGGTATGCGCTCGCGTAGCACTGTTTTATAGTCGACGCGATTCTAACCCGAATATACAGAGATCCTGACACACATCCTCTCACACTTGCATCCCGACTCGCACGCCTCGGTCGCCTTAGTATCTAAGCGATTCTACGCCTTAATCACCACGCCTCATGCATGGCGCATGGCTTTCCAGCGCTTCTTCCCCGCTCAAGACGCCTTAGTTTCTACCAACAAATCACACGGCGTTGCATGGGGCGAAGACGATGACGGTACTGTCCGGTCTGAAGTGCGGGTCTTTACTCGCCTGACTCCACATGCCTCTTGGCGCAGCGAATATCTTTTGAGAACCCGCCTTCTCCGCAGCCTATCTAGAGGAAAGCCCGGCGCGAACTCGGGAGTTGGTAGGTCTTCGCGTACTGGTCAAACTGGCAAGAAAGCTACCGCCGTTTTAACCTACAACACCAAGGTACCTTCTGTGGTTACTCATGTGCACGCAACATTCAAGCCCAATGGCAAGAAGTCACCACGTGTTATCCACGGTGCTGCTGACCTAGGTGTCGGTAGCGCAAGTGATCCCACAGTTGGAAAGGTTGAGAAATGGGGTCTGGACGACCCTTTCGCTTTTGCTCAGTTGGATGAAGTCATGCCCCAGCTTATGCCCTATGGCATGGGGGAGGGGCCTGCCGCTATGCCCAATGTCATGGATGTAAGCCAACCATACGGCCTTGTCGGTGGCGAAGGATTTCCAGGCGGTCGTGTTTTCTTCCGCCCCATCGGGGAGTACAGAGGAAAATATCTTGGTCAAGAGACTGGCTTCATTGAGGCTCACCCTGATATCCCCAAGATCCCCGAGCTCTCTGAAAGTATCTGTTCCGTATGGGTTGCTAAGTCGTCTTCTGTCCCTACTGTTACTCAGTCTATGATCGGTATCATGACTGGGTCGTCTCTGGGAGTCGTGACTACCTATGCCCTCGGCTATGATCCCTCTGGTCCGCGATACGGTCCTGGTGAAATAAGTGCTCGTTGGGTCCTGAGCCCCGGTGTGCCTATTATTGCACTTAAGGTTGATGATAACTACAGCCAGAAGAGGAAGGCTCTAAATCGTGTCTGGGCAGTCGCCCTCAATGCCTTGGGTGAAGTCTACTACTTAATCCAACCTCCACGCCCACCTGCCAGCAAAACTAAAGCCGACGATAGCACTAAAATTGCTTGGCATACTGGCCGCTCAACCTATTGGCGCCTTGTGGAAGCCACTCGGCGGCAAGCACGTCCCGATGAGTCGGGAAGAAATGCTGTCCGAGGTAGCTATTCCCCTAGATCTCCCTCTAGTACAATGAGCTTGACCAAGGACCAAATGATTGCCGAGGCGAGAGAGATTGAGAAATTTCTTCGCTATAAGCCTTCGCATTTTCGGAAGGTTTGCTATGGCTGGGACATGCGTCGAAGATTGGAAGTAGATTTCGCCAGCGACGACGAACTAGGCGCAGGGGAGAGTTTTTTCATTCTTGATTGTGCGTTAGATGATGATCAGACCTGGGCCCTCAGACGCTTCGCTCGAAATACCGCAAATCAACCCCAACTAGATGCAACACCTCTCCAGGCAGTAGAGTCCTCGCTAGAACAACCAGCATCACGCCAATCAATCTTTGGTGGTAATAGTACTAGATCCACCTCTCCAAATTCGTCAAGCTCTCCTTTACTCAAGCGAGTATTATCATCAAGTAAACAATCTCCTACCCCATCCGCAATTTCAACCCTTTTGGACGACTGGGTAGAGACGAGATACTTGTCGAAAGAAATCGGAAATGTCACAATCACTGCTAGTGCTATCGATATGTCACTTGTGGCATTAGTCGCATCATTTGAAGATCCCCTGAAGGATGCCTCTAGCCCCTCAGCTAGCGGGCCTGCGACGCCGTCTGGACAGCTTTCTTCAGAGATTCCCGGCCGAAGAGCCAGGTTGATTGCTTTAGGTACTAACACTGGGAAAGTAGTGATTTGGAACATACGGGCTGGGCATACGGGTGACGGCATCATGCCAGTCCGTGTTATTCAGACGGAATCGCCTAGGATTTCATGTTTAGCTCTCTCAGCCCTCTACTTAGTCCATGGAGGAAGCGATGGACTAGTTCAGGCTTGGGATCCTTTGGCTTCCACTTTGGACGCAGTGCGCACAATCAATTCTCGTTCTCCCGTTCGCATGCCTCGCCATCTCCTAGCGCTAAACCCGA